TTTCTCCACATAAAGGACCGAGGGTAGTCCAGATACTGACCACTTTCTGTTAAAGCAAAGCTCTGGAGCCTTGTGTTGATTCTGTTTAATCCCATTCAAAAGCCTAAGTCTTACTACTTGTATTCAGCCAAATTTGATGGATATATTTAAATAAAAATCAATTTTATTCATGACAACTTTACTTATCTTAAATCTTCTTATTATACGTCTAATTTATCTAACTTATCTAATGTATGTTCACGTCTGCACGGGAGAGCAAGAAACAAAATTTAAATTCTTTCTCTGTATGACCAACGCGTGTAAAGAAATTGACAATAAAGCATACTTGACTTTACTTGACTTAAAGGCTCAGACTGAGGCCCATCATTGAAGATAACCATTTCCCGTTCAGTGTATATTAACAATTCAAAGGGCATGATCCAGACTTTTAGGGTTGTTCAGTGCAATCTCAAGGAAACAGGAACCTCAAAAACGAGATTATTAACTGAGAAAAATTCAGTTGGTTTCACCATTAACACGAATGAGGACTTCCGGTTTAAAATAAGAAACAAAAGCAAATCTCCACGTGCAAATCTCCATGTTCGAATGTGCGAAAACACCTTAGGAGGAGAAAAAAATGAACAACTCAGGCCACGCGCACGACATTGATGGTTTGAGGCTGAACTCCCGGATCTTGTGGTCTGTTCGGCTCCTGTAGGGGGCGCTCACAGCGTTCAGTCACCTGACTACCGGGCAAAAAAAGGTGAGAGGTAGGACTTTAAAACCACCCAAAACGATCCATTTAGAACAAACAGACACGTGGAAACCAAATCAATAGAAGAGACTAAAAACCAACAAAGCAAATATCAGATTTAATGACTCCTAAACGTGTTGTTTATCCAAACAAAACCCTCTGGGGGGGGATAATGGATAATCCCACTCCGGATTCTCACCTGGGAGCGCGTCCCCTCGCGCGTGCGCGTGTCAGCCTCCCGCACGCGCGCGCGCGGAGCATCGGAACTATATTGACAAAAAAACGGCGTCGGGAGCGCACTTTTATTTCCCCCGGAGCGCGTTCGCGTCGCGCCTCACACGCACGCGCCTCACACCTCCGGCCGGCAGCGTGACTGCGCAGACCGGGACCGAGACGCGCACCCCCCCACGCGGCCAGATTGCCCCCCCCCCTCCGGGG